ATCCTTCAACTATTTTAGTTTTTTTTTATTTGTAGACTTTTCTGAAGTTCTGAACAGGAAGTCGTTTTACTTTACGTTTTACAGACTTCCTGTGTCCTCACACTAAACCCCAACCCAGTTTTTAATTTTCTTCGTCGACTTTTGTTTTCATCATAGACTCAGTCAACGACAAAAATGAAACCAAAAATGAATGATGAAATGTATGGATGGATTGGAGGATCTGTGAGGGCCAGAAACCAATCAACTAAGATTCACAACGTTTCAAATATTTAAACTTTACTGACTAAAATCATTTGGATATTTTGTGACTGCAGTGAAACTAAAACACACACACACATCAACGTCAGTAGAACTAATGACAGTGATGTGTGTGTGTGTGTGTGTGTGTCACTCAGAGAGACTGTCTGATTAATTAACACGGAGGACAGAAAGACTCTCCGTCAGTGACTGACCAAGCAAACACTAAAGACTGCTCTCTCTCTCTCTCTCTCTCTCTCTCTCTCTGTAAATTTGTAAAAGTTGTTAATTAAAAAAAGACGTTGTTATTCATTTAACCCTGAGTCAAAGGACACGTTTTCACTGAATGAATAATTAGTAAAAATGATGAAACAGATTTTACAGTTCTGACAACGATCAGAAAAAGAGGCGTCAAGTCTGAATCAGATCCCAGGTCAGTTACCCACTCAGTATTTGCTCTGCAGTATTTCCTGATCACAGGTGTGTATTTCACCAGAGAAATATCACAGTGGAAATGATTAAACTTTAATGAAACCTCAGCAGTGGGAGATTTAACTCCTGGCTGAAAACCTTCCGCTCATCTCTAGAAAAAAAAAACATCATTCTGTTCCAGCTGAGCCGTGCACTCGTCTGATTGGTCACCGTCGCCGTACGTCACCTTTACACCGTCGTCGACCGACGATTAAAACCTGTGAACCGACGATTAAACCAGAGACAAAGGGACTGCTAATGAATTACTGCAGTAGTAGTAGTAGTTGTAGTAGTAGTATAGTAGTAGTAGTAGTAGTAGTACTAGTAGTAGTATAGTAGTAGTAGCCCCCCCTCACCCCACCTTCCTCTTTTCTTTTTCATGATATTTTCTCCATGCCAAGCTCCGTGCCCAGCCACCCTCCTCACCCCCCCTCC